TGATTACGCTGCAAAAAATATTTATATTTAACGATAAGTCATAATGTATATCGGTCAAACAGTCCTGATGGGGAAAGGGAAACAGTCCTGAGTGGGGAAAGGGAAACAGTCCTGAGTGGGGAAAGGGAAACAGTCCTGAGTGGGGAAAGAGAAACAGTCCTGATAGGGGAAAGGGAAACAGTCCTGAATGGGGAAAGGGCAACAGTCCTGATGGGGAAAGGGAAACAGTCCTGAGTGGGGAAAGAGAAACAGTCCTGATAGGGGAAAGGGAAACAGTCCTGAATGGGGAAAGGGAAACAGTCTTGAATGGGGGGAAAAAGAAACAGTTCAGAATGGGGGGAAAAGGAACAGTCCTGAATGGGGAAATAAGAAACAGTCCTGAATTAGGCAGTAAAACAGTCCTGATTGTGGGAAACAGTTCTGCGCATGGAAAGAGAAACAACCCCGCATTGGGGCATGGAGATAGTCCTGGAAGGAGGCAAGAAAACAGTTTTGCATGGGGAAAGAGAAACAGTCCTGCATGGAGGCCAGAAAACAGTCCTGAATAGGGACAAGTGAACATTGCAGCATGAAAACAGCTGCATAGGGGGAAAAAAAAAACATTTTTCAATGGGGACCAGAAAGCACCCACAATGAAACATAGCTTGATAGCAGACACTCACCATTGCAGGATTAGCACTGGCATGTATACAGAATATACCGCTATCTTCGTAACTATGATGCATGGCAGCCGCACTGTACATCCAATGGTAGCGATTCAAAACATTCAAATACAAACGTGTGTACATTCCTTTTCCGGGACCTCCAGCAGAGAACGATCCACCACCTCCCATCATCATGTTAAGAACAGCGAATGGAATGAAGTCATCTTCTTTATGACCGCAGCTTTGCAAACCAATTACTATGTGTGCTAATTCTGGGATCGGTGTGCCAGGAGCAATGTTAGCCATGTTTCTTTCCTCCTACATACACAAACAAAAATTAATATTCAGATAACGGTAAAGTTAAATGGTTTAGCACTTACAACATTTTTTCAGGATAATATCAAAGTTGAACACTAGAGGGTGTTCAAACCACATGATTTCAAATCTAACTCAGAGCTGTAAATTGGAGATGACATACCTAACCACAGATGTTAAGTCAAAAGTATTGAATGCTGAATTTAGACGTCAAGAACGCAAAACAAATGACTTTGTCAAAACAATCCACAAGAACAAAACAAAAACTGACAAGTATACTACAAATCAGAAGGAGAAATGTATATGAACTCCATGGTATACATGAAGGGTTGTCAGATGTTTTGAAACAAGCAGCCTGTCAGCTGAGATAGCTCCGCTGTTAGCAATGCACATGGCAATTAAAGAACAGAAGATATCATTAGAAAATGAACAAATCTGAGAGAGGTCCACATGTAGTACCTATATATGTAATATCAAAGCAATTGGACTTGCGGTTTTTAACAAGAAGTTGAAAATATCACTTTTTACTAAAAATGACAAAAATATTCACCAAAATTAGAGAATTGAAGATATCATCATGAAATGCACAAATCTGAGAGAGGTCTACCCAAGGTACATATACACCAAGTATCAAAGCATTCAGGCTTGTAGTTTTCAAGAAGAAGTCGAAAAAGTAAAACATTGACACGGACGACGAACGACGGACAATCACTCATATGATAAGCTCCGCTCGACAAAGTCGACAGCGGAGCTAAAAAGTAAGCATGTCCTGCTTCACATGTTGCACCCACCATACATCTTGTCATAATCAAATGGTTTCTGTTTAAAACCTCATGTCTACATCAGACAAGAGATAACAATGCCACCTGTGATCACCTGTGTAACAGTGTTATTTTATTTAACCACGAGCTCATTATTGTATCATCCAAAAATCAAATTATTATTTGTGAAAACAAAATGCATGTTTCTTTGGTACAATGTACAACATTGGGATGTATAATGAATTAGGGCTTTGTTCAACAGTGGTTTAAGCACCAATCATCTCATAGCAGGCATTTTAAAACTGGCAAACTGTTGGGGAAATTTTTTGGAAATCTAGTCCTTTTGCCACAGACAGAGAAAATAATGCGGAAATCATTTTTAGCACAACAACTTGGAAAGCTTGTTCAGCAAGAACAAAAAAATAATAAAGCTTCACCGAAGTGCTACATTAAACTTTTGTCTACCACAAAATTTTCAGTTCTACAGTATAGGTTTTCAGCATGCATGCATAAAAGTAAATAAGCAATTTAGAAATATTATTACCATGACAATTCCTCCAGTATATTGCGATATTGAGTCATCCGCACCTTTGCTTAATGTGCCATCAAACTCCCTGTTCCAAACAGGCGTGTTTGAAATAAAATATTTGCTAGCAAGTTCAACAAGGTCTTCGTGTTCCATGCCGACACCAGCAAGAACCATCCTGGATGGGACATAGTAGTTGTACATAAAATTCAAAATCTCAGTCCTGTCAATGATGGACACATTGTCCTTTGGAGACAGCCTTGGCAATCCTAATGTGTTTCCTTGGTAACCAGCCTAGAATGTGTAAAAGGAGAAAATTTCAGGTTTATAAACTCACAATTCAGAAGTTTGAGTGCTAAAATATTAAAAACATTGTGATTGTCAATTTTTGTCATTATTCTTAAAATAGTCCCTGATAATTTTTTTTTTTTTTTTTTTTTTTTATTTAAAAAGAATTCTATACTTTAATCAACGATCTTAGCTGACATCCCATCTTAAAATACACATGGGTATGAGAAATTCTCTCCACATCTGCCCGAATGAAATCATGAACAAAAATGTAAATGGACATGGAAAAAGTGAAGATGGAAAATGTGGTGTTGTAGTAACAATGTTTTTGTTTTCAGTCGAAATGAGTTTAGACAATGTTGAAATACTATTGTAGTAACACATACTGTAAAGGGGTTAATTATTCACTGGGTTTTAATTTAGCTTATTTCGCTGACTGGAAAATGCGCTTAATTAAAACCCAGTGACTATGTAAAATTTAGCATAGAACACATTATCTAAATGACGAAACCGTGAATTTAAAACCCACTGAATGTGCCTGAAATGGTAAATCAGTGAAATTTAAACCCAGTGAAAATTAGTCATTTTACAGTATATTAAGTTGATGACCTTACACGTATTAGTAGAAGTTATTAGGTGGCAGGGTGTATAACTGCACCAAATTAGGCCTTAATTTGTTGGACATTAACGTGTTCCAAAAGCATGTTATGCATATCCTCGGGGGCGGAGCTACGTCACATACGTTCCACGTTGCTAAGACGCGCACCACTGTACCATGCATTTCTATGGGCTCTGTGCGCGCTGCTGTGGAACGCCGGTCGAGCCGGTGAAAATTCAAGAAAACAATACAAACTCAACTTTGAAGTAATCCCGAACAATCAAATTTATATATGTTACACACGTAGGGCTAATCTTGTTGCACTGTTCAGAGGAGTCTCAACAATCACTCCAAAGTACCGTTTTCTGTGAGTTTTGGGCCTTTGTTTTCACCGCCGCGGGTTGCCAGACGGTGAAAATGCCCAGATGTCCGCCCCCGAGGATAGTTGGTGCATTGCATCAAAATAATTCTGTGAGTGTTATTAAATATGTGCGGCGTGTTACACAATAGCCCAGCAACTGATTAATAATAAATTAAGAGAAAAATATTAAAAACTAAAAATTAAGAAGAAGAAAAAAAACTTACTGCATGGATCATCTCTGTCAGCAGTGGCTCAGGATCAGGTCTTAATCTCAAATCCTCTAACTCAAATTGAATTGTTAAGGCAGCCAACTCAATCTGGAATTAGAAAATACAGTATACTTTCTGCACAGCGTAGATTTGATTGACTTTGACATTGTATCAAATTTACTGAATATTAGTAACACAGTTGTTTCTACAATTCTGAGGTCTTTCTACTTAGCCATATGTTATTAATGCACAGTATATATTATTATTGTTGGTGCTAGAATCATTTCGTTTCAATCCTGAAACCTTGGGGCAATATTTGGGAAATAATCATTCTTTGACAAAATTGGTCATAAATCACATTTAATTTATTATGTACAATCATGAAGCTATTGTCCAATGGTAAAACGAAATAGCATTATTTTGTGTGCTTTTTAAGAAAAGTGTCCTAATATTTCTTGAAAATTGCTATTTTTAGAACAATCCCATAGTACACAAGGTTGAAGAAAGATTGCATTTTTTGAAACTTTTTTAAAACCCAGATTTTTTTAAATAAATCAGAACAACATTAAGTACTCCATTAACAATATAGACTTTAGGCTAGACTTTGAGATATTGCATAATATCTCTGTCATAGGAACCTGTGGTAAAAGTGTTATAATAGTGTCAAAATGGCCACTTTCCACTAAAATACTACCATCAATTTCTCGAACAAAAAAAGGTTGGTGACCCCCCCAACTTTTTTTAGGTCAATATCCTTGTATTGGCTTGCAGTACAATTTATTTCAAAATGAATAAATTCTGTGTTTTTTTTATTTATGAGTAGGCTTCTACCTTAACTATTATTTGTCAATTTCCCTTTTCGTATTCTACTTTTGGACATCACAGTGAAGACTCATGGTAATAACTTGATATGTTTTAGCCCAATGAATTCATGGAATGTAGTTCGTCTCAAAAATAACATACAGTATGTATGTATGATGCATTTCTCATTCTAAGGTTGTTCTACAAACAAGTGTGTGCTGAATTATACACAAAGATAATAAAATATTATAACGATGAATTGATTACCTCTTCCGGTGTTAACAAAGGATGTAGAACAGCATCAGCAAGTACACATACACCAGCGTCCAATCCAGTGCTTTCAACTGACATTGCATACACCATTGTATCCCTGAATCACAATAATTTAAAAAACATTTACTGCTGAGAGTGACAAGACAAGCAGCCTGTCGACTGAGATAGCTCCGCTGTTAGCATTGCACATTTCATTTCCAGAATTCAAAAATATCACTTTTCACCAAAAATGACAAAATATTCATCAATTATAGAATTAAAGATATCATTACAAAATGAACAAATCTGACAGAGGTCCACATGTAGTACTTATATATGTAATATCAAAGCAATTGGCCTTGCGGTTTTTAACAAGATGTCGAAAATATCACTTTTTACCAAAAATGACAAAATATTCACCAAAAATTAGAGAATTAAAGATATCATTACAAAATGAACAAATCTGAGAGAGGTCCACATGTAGTACCTATATATGTATTATCAAAGCAATTGGACTTGAGGTTTTTAACAAGAAGTCAAAAATATCACTTTTTACCAAAAATTACAAAAATAATCACCAAAATTAGAGAATTAAAGATATCAACATGAAATGAAGAAGTCTGAGTGAGGACCACATGTAGTAACTATATATGTAATATCAAAGCAATTGGACTTGCGGTTTTTAACAAGAAGTCGAAAATATCACTTTTTACCAAAAATGACAAAAATATTCACCAAAATTAGAGAATTAAAGATATCATTATAAAATGAACAAATCTGAGAAAGGTCCATATGTAGCACATATAAATGGAATATAAAAGCAATTGGACTTGCGGTTTTTAACAAGAAGTCCAAAATATCACTTTTTACCAAAAATGACAAAAATATTGACCAAAATTAGAGAATTAAAGATATCATTACAAAATGAACAAATCTGAGAGAGGTCTACCCAAGGTACATATACACCAAGAATCAAATCATTCAGAAGTCGAAATAGTAAAACATTGACACGAACGACAACGACTGACGCCGGCGACGGACGCCGACGATGGACAATCACTCATATGATAAGCTCCGCTCGACCAAGTCGACAGCGGAGCTAAAAAGTTGATACGGACAACGATGGGCAATCACTCATATGATAGGATTCGCTCGACAAAGTCAACAGCGAGAATGAAAACTCAATTAAATGGCACTTCCGTTCATATAATTGATACAGTAACTGATAATTCAATTAAATGATAATTTAGGTAATTGAAAATTCAGATTGATAGTTTTAATAATTGTTGTATATTTAATGGCGTTCACAAGCTTAACTGCTCTACATGGAATCCTTGTTCGGTTGTCGCATCAGGACGGCGTCATGCATTCGCACTGCTATCAAGTCCGGTCAAGTTGATCTGACACTTTGAACATTCGCTATTGGCGGATTTTATTTTTGGCCTTTTAATGCTGTATTTTGCATACATGATTGCATCAGTCAATATAATTTGCCTCATGTTGCAATATTTTTGTTACCCTAATATAAACATCACTTAGTCAGGATTATGGAAAATACAACAAAAACAAAATGTATACAGCCAAAGCATATCCAAGATACTAGTCTGGACAGAAGGACGGATGTACGAACAAACGAACGGAGGTCAATCCACACGTTCCTGTTTTTGGACTGTGTTCTCTAACAGGGACCGAGAAATAGTTAACATTGGAAGTTAGAAAGACAACTGTCTCAGTACTTACCTTGATGACTGACTATCAACAATTCCACCGTATTTTTCTAATTCTTTCATAATATGGTCCCGACTTTCAAATTTGGATGAGGACTGAAAGTAGATTACAATTATCAGTTGTCATGACAACATACTGGTAGATAGTACAATTTATCATTTCTGAGAAAGTTGTCACTTAGATTTCTGCCAGACAAATTCCGTTACAAAATAATCCACAGTCACTATAATCTCACTTACCATAAATGCCAGCTTTTCGAGAAAATGTGAAACACCATTTTTATAATCTATTTCATACCTTGAACCAGAATTTACAAAAACTATAAAAGAAGGCAGAATTATTAGAACATTGTAAACTGTGAGGGCGGTGTTCGCATGAATAATTAGTAATATGTAAATTACAGAGGTGGCTAAATCATCAAAAATCATTCTATAATGTTCCAGGATACAGTAAATTCTGTTAGTGAT